GCCTCCGCTTCCGCCTCCGCTCCGCCTCCGCCTCCGCCTCCGCCTCCGCCTCCGCCTCCACCTCCGCCTCCGCCTCCGCCTCCGCCTCCGCCTCCGCCTCCGCCTCCGCCTCCGCCTCAGCCTCCGCCTCCGCCTCCGCCTCCGCCTCCGCCTCCGCCTCCGCCTCCGCCTCCGCCTCCGCCTCCGCCTCCGCCTCCGCCTCCGCCTCCGCCTCCCCAGAGGATCCTTGGATCTATCGGATAGAACCGGTTCTGCTATAGCCGCATGGATAGAACCGGCATCGCATGGATCATGCTTAAATCGTTGCAATGTAAGTAAATCATAAAAAGCGAAATGAAACGATAAACATTATGATGGTGATGATGGGACCGAGCCACACATTAGCATGATGATAGCGATAACGATCGTCCGCCCGCTTCGCACGCGCACGCAAAGAGAGAGGAAGAGGAGGAGGAGGAGGATGATGGGGTGAGGAGGAAGAGGGAGGGGGGGGAGAAACAGATCGAGGAAAGAACTTCACAGAATCCCCCCCATCTCCTAGATTGTCTCGACGTACTCGCCCCCGCCGCTGCTGATCGTCTCGGGTTCGCTGTCTTCGGAGCTGGTGATATACTCGATGTCATCGGGGGGCCTCGGGGGTGTTCTTAAGCCGAACGCAGACAATCGATCGGTTTGTTGATCGATCGATTGATCGTCGTTCAGTTCAAGGATCGGGTCTCGGGGGCCCTCAGGGGCCGCTAAGTCCGCGGCCGCCACCACCACAGGTTAGCCCGAGGGAAACATTCGATGGCAACCCATCCGACGGGGGGGGCCCACACCCAAACGCGAAAACCCCACTGAAAATTGATAAATGCTCGCTGCATCTCGGGCCAACGAAGGAAGAGGAGGAGAAAGAAGAGGAGGAGGAGGAGGAGGAGGTAGAGGAGGAGGAGGAGGAAGAGGGAGGAGGAGGAGGAGGAGGAGGAGGAGGAGGAGGAATGGGGAGAAAGAGGAGGAAGAGGGGGAGGAGGAGAGGGATGGGGGGCGTGGGAGGGAGGGCGGGAGGGAGGACGCGGAAGCGGGAGAAGGAGAGGGTGAGGGAGGGAGAGGGGGGTGGAAGGGGAAGGGGAGGGAGGGGGAAGGGGAGGGGAAGAAGGAGTGGAGAGGCAGGCGGGACCTCGGCAATCCGAGCATCCCTTCGGTCACCCAATGCTGCGTGTCGTCGGTGTCGTCGTCGCCGCCGTCGCCGTCGCCGTCGAGGTCGTCGCCGCCGTCGTGGTCGTCGACGTCGTCGTCGTCGTCACCCTCGCCGCCGCCGCCGTCGCGATCGCCATCGTCGTCGCCGTCGCCGTCGCCGCTGCCGCCGTGGTCGCCGTCGTCGTCGTCATAGTCGTGGTCACTGCCGCCGCCCTCGTCGTCGTCAGAGTCTGGAACAGAGGAGAGGACCGAGAAAAGGGGACAGATGGGGGGGGACAGGGCAGGGAAGGGGGCAAGAATGAGGGTAGAGGACCCCCAGGCGACGGGGAAGGGGACGAGCGGGGTGAGGGGCGCGGACAGGGATATGGGGATAGCAGGATGGAGAGGAGGAGGAGGAGGAGGAGGAGGAGGAGGAATAATGTTCGATGTGACCTTTGTGCGCTGTATCGGGGCTCTCGTGCACGGTCTTTTCGGATTGCCTAGAGTGTTTCATGGCCCCGTTTCGTTTTCGTTGTGGTGTCTTAGGGCTCAAGATTTTGAGTTGATTGCAGGTGGAGTTGGTGTTGGTCCTAGGTGGTATTCGAATGTATGCTACGATGTCAGGGTCGGGCCAGATTGGCCCAGGCGCCCCAAAAATGAGCTGGCAAAGCCAAACCAAACGACCCACGCTCGGCCCAAACGCCCCAGAACAAATGCACATGTTCAATCATGTCGCTCAAACTTCAGGGTCACCAGTTCTCTCGATAATCTAAAGCATTGCAGTGTAAGCTCGCATGGCCCAGAGCCCGATATGCCAAACAAACCCTGTCGAGGTACCCCCCTGCAATAACGGTCCGTCCAGAAATAGATAGGCCAAGGCACGCTCTCCCGACTACGTGCGTGCAAGATGCGGCATGGCGAACATATTGCAGAACTCAACCTAAAGATTCATGGAAGCAACCGTCGACAATGACCGAATGTTTCATGTTCCCCCGCGAGCTGCATCATGCCTCATGCGCAACCAACGTCGGCAAGTGCTGAATCCTCACCAGGCCATCAAATTGTGAGACTTTTGCAAACTTGCTTAGCCGTGCATCCGCAAACATCGGTCAACCCATGAGTGTTTTCAGGTGTGCCTTCCCCCTCGCCCTTCCCTGATTTCCTTAATCCTCGCATGTCCTCCATATCTCCTAGCTCCCCCTCCCATGATTCCCCTGCTGTCCAATGATATGCAATCTTTGCTGCCCCCTCCGATGTCCTCGCGCATACGTGCAATGGTTGCCCGCAGCACGATAAGTTGCCTGCACGATGAAACGCTCGACGCGTCGAGAAAACACGTGGTTGGCGAATTACTGCAAGGGAGGCGCCATTTCTTTCATGGGGGTGGTGCAGTTGTTGTCACGTACGTCTGGTGTCTCCCTTGCTAGTGACCGCTCTGCGATAAGACAAGCTGGCAAACGGCCTCGCAAAATTCAGCTGGGCACGCCTGTGACGACGCCAATTTGTCATTGGCACCTGTCACCCAGTGGCCGCGGTTCCAGCCCTTTCCCTTCTTAGAAGTGTTGCGGTTCGTAGTTGGGGCCAACACTACGGCTTTGCGTCTACTCTTGCGAACGCGAGCCATGGAAACCGAACGTGAAACTTTCAAAAAAGACTCAGCCACTTTAACGTCGTGGCTCGTCCACAGACTGAGTGGCTTGAGCGAGTTCTGCCCGAACCCACCTAGAAACACCGAAACCTTCTTCAGTGCAAGCGTACCAATCACAAACTTGACGCAGGGAACTTTGTCGAGCATGGTGGCTGCAGGCTGTTCGAGCAGCACGTGGGCGCCGAACAAAACCGCCAGCGTCATCAGCCAGCACCTGAGATGCAACCCGAATGGGAATAATGGAAGATGAAACTGACGAGAACGAAGATAAGGGACCTAAGCAGCATGGATGGTAGCTGGAGCTCCCTCGCCCTTTCCACCTTCATCCCCTCATGATCCTTACATTCACATTTTCCTCTCGTCCTCCCCTTTCATCTTACTTCCTCCTCCGCCACCGTGCCGACCTTCCCTGCGCCCTCGCCTTCCTCCTTACATGCGCCCCTCCTCGTCCTCCACCTCGTCTTGCCCTTCCCCACCCTCCTAAGCATCTTGCTTCTCATCCCTTCCCTTCTGCGCTCCGCTGCCGCCGACTCGGGCGCTAAGCGCGGCGCACTACCAGTGCGCACATATTAGCTTCCTTCACGTCCATGCGCGACTCGTCTCCGAAGATGTCTCGTAGGGAGCGACCCGTGTGGTAGCGGCATAGGTTTAACCATGTGCTGCATTGCGGTTCAAGCATCAACGTGCCTCCCTTTTTGAGCGTGAGCACGCACCATGCGGCATGCAGTAGGCCTGCCAAAGTACAGATATCCTCACTCGGATGCTGCGTCCCCCTGGGATGCTCAAACAATCACGGCAGCCAGGCCGCGGGAATTTAGTCCGACACTACACAGACCGAACGTGCAGATCAATGTGTCGAAGGGCAGAGGGGAAAGGGATATGGCGGGGATGGACTGCGAGGGTAAGTGATGGGATGGGCGTGGCAAGGACGTTGGAGCCAGTATAGTGGGAAGGAAAAGGGAAACCGGAGGGGAGGTGAGAGGATAATCCCCCAACTTGGCCCCCATCGATTTGCAAACTCAGTCGCATCGGCCCCGCCCCAACGTCGGGGCCGAATCACCCCGCCCCGAATTCACCGCCAAAGTCCTGTCCATCTTCTGAGCTTGACCCCCCGCTGCTGCCACGCGGTCGCTTGTGCCCCCCTCCCCGCAAAATATCTCCATCAGATCCAGAGTCCTCGGGATCCGAGTCGTATCCTCCATCCACTTCATCACTTCCTTCTGGGCAGTCTGAAGAATCGCCTCGGCTGTCGATGTCTTCAGGTCCCTCTCCAATGGGTTCGGGCATATCTCCTTTGCGAGGGCCACGGCCCAATGCGGAAGACCCGCTGACTGCATCTGGTTGCGAGGGAAAGTACGGGTCGGATGGTGCGAACAAGTATATGTTAGTACCCAATAAGCCCATAACGGCAAAGCACAAAAACACAGTGTACTCCATAGTTAAGCGATGTGCATTCTGAGCGGCAACGCGAAGTGCTAGATTGAGTCCTTCGTCTATGAAGGTCGCATACTCTCGGGGATTCCCCATAGCCCAACTCCTTGATACATGTTTGTTCGTGCCAGGGGTGGTCAAACACACGCGAGGTGGAGCGGGCAACTTGAAGCGAGGTGGGCGGGCGGGGAGCAAGCGGAGGAGGAGGATGATGAGGAAAAGAAGTAAGAGGAAGGGACGCATAAATCTACGAGGTGCCAGTCGAATGTGGAGGAGGTCGAAAAACGGGATATCACGAGGAAGAGGTGGGACGGGTAGCTGGAGGAGGAGGAGGAGGAAGAGGAGCAATAACATGGGGGATGACGACCATGAAGAAGAGGAGGGCAGAGAGTAGGCGAAGGAGGAGGACGAGACGCTGGAGGGGGACTGATGTCGCGCACAGCTTCGCCTTCCCGTGCTTCCCCCATCGACAAACGTATCCCTCCTGCTCCCGCTCATCCTCAATAACAATATATATATATATATATATATATCACAATCACAATCACACAACTGCTCCCTCCCCCAAACTACGATCCTGATAGTCAGGTGCCCGAACAAGTGGTGCTTGGGCAACTTTCCAACCTTGGCCCTGTCCGATAAAATCAGGTGCCGTTGACAAGAATCTAGGAGGACCTGATACTGATCGTGAGTTAGTCTGACACGACCCTCTCGCGTCGTCTCCACCCACACCTGCAGGGCCATACCTGCCTTTAAAAGGTCGTCGTGGTGAGTTACAATATTAGGGTATTTCTGCAACAACGCAACCATGAACCTCATCATCACATAACATTCGGCAGCCTTCATTTTCATTGTTCCCCCTGGGTGTGGATTGGGCATTGCCTTGGGAAGCATTTTAGAAGTGATTACTGCAATCCGTCTGTCGTGGGGGACTCCCTTCTCTTCGAACCACGCGTGCATATCTGCAGCTAAGCGTTGTTGTGCCTGGTCTTGCGGGGCATCCCACGGGTTGGCATGCAATATTCTCATCACTGATGCCGATGTCCACTGGCAGATCGGTCCGAAATAGACTGTATGTAAAGTATCGAGGGCGAGTGGCCGGAGCGGGGATGTTCCCAGCTTCGCAGAAAAAATTGGGGACCGATGCAACACCCAGTCTGTCACTATTCCTCGTGCGTCCTTATTCTGTCTCCAGAACGTGGCCCAGAATGGCACGGGCTCCGTCTCGAACGTGTTTGGGTTTATCAATGATGGGGACGGCTCTAGTCTGTCGCCACGCTGCAAGTGGTGGTCGGGGAGCCCCTCCCTGAGAACCCGCCCCTTAGACTTTTTTGCTTTGGGGTTCAAGCGGTACACCAAGAGCTTCAAAATCTCGGCCCTCACATCTTCCGAAACAA